AAATTCAATGGTGAAAAAAGCAAGGTTCTACATTTAGGCAAGAAAAACCAAATGCACAAGTACAGCATAGGTGGCACCTTGCTCAATAGTAGTAACTGTGAGAGGGACCTCGGAGTCCTAGTGGACAATCACTTAAATATGAGCCAGCAGTGTGCTGCAGCTGCCAAAAAGGCCAACACAGTGCTAGGCTGCATTAACACTATTCCTCACCTCCTAAATTTAATAGGCTTTTATATTGTTTCATGAGCCTATTTAATCCAAGAAGAAGCAGCATCTTCAGCTTTCTGAAACCAACAAAACCTTCTGTGTCATTTAGCCTGGGATTACACATCACACAAAGCAAAAATATAGTTTAAATATAGTTTAATGTAGGGGTTGTGTATAATCCCACCATGGTTTATGATTGGTATACTTATTATTGCCTTATTGAATAAATGTTGCACTTTTCTATTTATTTCAAATCCATAGCCATTTGCAGCAAAACATTAATACAATTAAAAGAGAAATAAAAATCAATGTTAAACAATTAACCATTAAAAAAACCGATGGAGTGTTTTTTAACCATCTCTGCAAATATTTGGCATGCTTTTAATTTTTTTAGGAAATGAATTCCACAGCCAGGGATCAACCCAGAAAAAGGCAATGGGGCATCTTTCCTGTGAATCAGGGAGATTCACAGAGGGAGAAGGGTTCCACAGATAATCTATTTTTTAAGCGCTTAATGTTTTGAAGGCTATCACATAAAGAAGTCTTGTTTGCTGGATTGTGTCTGAGAAAGCTCTTTAGCCAGTAATTTAGCAGATTTCTATTATATCAGCTAACTCTTGCTTGAGGAAATAGATTTTATTGAGATACTGGCTTTATTCACTACATACTTGTGGTGTACTATTTAAGGGCTGAACTAGGACCAGGTTCAGAAATGGAAATTCACTAATAACTTTGAAATAGGGTGTCCACAAGTTGTAAATCAGTACAAGCAGTCCTCAACTTACAACTGTCACTAGGGCCTGGAATTATGATCGTAAGGTGTTGTGTTTTTTAAGCAGGTCACAATGTGTCTACATCTGATTTTATGACCTTTTTTGCAGCATTTGTTAAGTGAACACAGCTGTCCTTAAGCAAATCCATTTTATCCAATAGGCATTTTTATCTAATTTTATTTTATTTGAAAAAAAGTTTAAAATGCAAAAGTCAAAAAAACTTGCAAAATGAAAACAAAAACACAAAACAAACAAGATATTAAAAAGTGCATTAAAAAGAAAAGAAACCCAGTACATACTCTATATACATATTATCCCCCAGCTAAATACTGATTAATATATTACTACAATATTGATTCTCACCCACTGCGAAACAGCCCCTCCTAAAAAAATTTAACCAGTAAATTTATTTGCAAATTATTGACTTATCATCTATATCCTATATTAATGACAAAATAGTTAACAGGATGAACAATACTAATAAAAAGGACAATATTAAAAATTGAAAACCCACTATTAACAAATTGTTATTATAATCAATTCCTAGAAAGTTTACCACAGTTTCTTATCTATCCCAAATTGTCCTCAAGTGTTAGGAGTCATTCATCCTGGATCAAATATCCATGTTTGTTTCTTAATATCTCTTATCAGTTATTGTCTAGTTACCTATAATAGATTCAATCTCTACAATCAGGCTATCTTCCCAACAAAGTCCAGATAGAAGTGGTTTTCAATTAAGTGTAATAAAAATCCATTCCCCAATCTCCCTCAGACCTCCTTAAAAAAAAAAAGCAATTTGTCACTTTGTGATTCAGTCAAGCTTCTGCTATTATAAAAAAGAAATGCAGGCTTAAAGTTCAGAAAGCTGTATGGAATCAGCTAAGGTAGTTCTGCATCTGTATAGTCCATATCTCTTTGGTCTACAGTTTTCAAATCAAATTCTTTTTGTGAATCTAACTTATCCAAAGCTACATGCTTCTGAATATTTTCCATGGCCATCACCATCTCATCAAACATTTTTTAAAAACTTTCAACTAAAGGTTGCATGTTACCAAAAAGTCTTTTCTCAGACTTCAGCCACTCTTACTTGTCTTTAATCTGATACATTGCTACTATGTGAAACTTAATCAGGGAACAAAGAATGCTGAAGCAGAAGGAACCGGGAAAGATATTTTCTGGATATTTTGATTCTAAATTGAAAGAAAAAAATAAAGTATTTAGCAAATGAAAAAGAATCCAAAAACCCTGTAGTGAGAGTCCAGTGTTAATGTAAATCAAATGAAAGTACTTCACCATCCAAGAGCACACCATGTTTCCATATGGGAAAACAATTAGAAGAGTATGATCAAATTGATGAAATAACAAAGGAAAAGAACTACAATTTGACACAAACAGGAAAAAATCTACGAGGTTTTGATACAAGAAGAAAAATGGAATGGACTATAGAATTATCAGGAGAACCATCAAAGTTTGGGAGACAGAAAGTATTCATCTTACTTCATCTTTTGTATTCCCAACATTTGTTAAAATACAGGAACTGCTCGGTAAGCGGATTACATCAACTTGGAAAATTACTCAGCAAAAGAAGAAGACCAGAGACAGACACAAGAGATTTGACTCGCCCTACCAGATGGACTAT